TTTTATGCTAATCTTTTTTTTATTTTTACACTTCTTGGTCTATGTTAATATTGAAATTGTTAAGTTTAAATAATGTTGACAGCAACAAATGATGCATCATTAATCAGCTTACAATATTGACATAGCTTTTCTAAACTTTTTATGAAAATGTAATTGACAGTGCTAACTATTTTAACTGCTCGTGTTTAATCACAAAATTTATTATCGTTATTTGAATTATTATTACTACTATCAATATTACTATTACTATAATTACTATTTTTATTAATGTTATTATCCAAGAAACTGAAATATTCTTTGATTCATGTTTGTAGTTTATACCGGCTAGCATCTTAAAAATTTACAAAAGTTTTAAATATCACGTTGACGCGATACGTTTCACTGGCAATGAGCGTTAAATTGTTTCATTGATAATCTCCGGTCGTTGTTCAGAAATGATTTCCCAGAAATTTAAAGATGATAAATGATTCTGTTGATATTTTGGAAAATAATAACTTTGAAAGTTAAAACAATTCAAGGAAATTTGCGCGAAATTGCAAACGGAGTTCGAGCGCAAGAAAAATATTGTTCTAATAAACATTCAATCTCGCTCTTTTTCAATTTTTTTATCTCTATAATTTATATATCTAGAAAATCGGAAAAGAATAAAGCTATTAAGACTTGAATGCAATATTAATCAACATTATTATTAAAGAGAATTGTTATTCAATATATAAATGCATTTATTTACTACGCACGATTCTTATTATCCCTCTATTTCTTTCTGACTTTTTATATTTAATATATCAAAATCTTTTTTGTTTTTACGTGATTTATATATCTTTTTATTAGTAGCCCTATTTCTTCCCGACTTTTTATATTCAATATATCAGAGCCTTTTTTTACTTGATTTATTTCTTTTTATTACTAGCCGTATTTCTTTTCGACATTTTATATTCAATATATCAGAACCTTTTTTTGTTTGTATTTGATTTATATATTTCTTTATCATTAATGTCCGTATGTAGATTTTGATGCAAGAAAAATATGTTATATTTTATCAAAAAAAACTTTTCTCGAAATAAATATAAACGACTTTTATTATATGAATTATTTTACATATTGAAATATATAATTGAATATCTTTTAGAAATAATTAATGTCTGATGTATATATAAATTGAATTTGAACTATATTTACCAATATTATTTATATGGTAATCACTCGTATTTGATTATATGGTAATCACTTCTAATTAAAATAATTAAATGCATCATAAAATCAGATTAATCATTGAAAACAAAATATGTGATGAACAAAATATGTGGGGATTATCTATTTCTTATTTAAAATAATGGTTGAGCGCAGCCGTAGTCGTTGAGATTGCAAGAAAATTCCGAAAGAAATCATTGTGAGCATTTCCGAGAGGATAAGAGTACTTAACGTGTTACAGCAAAAATAGAAAAACGGAAAAAGGATAGCATAAAGAACAATACTGCGGGATGAGAGATGGAAGACCGCTAATGCGCATCCACTGCGTTACAGATAAATGGATTAGCTAGTTACTACACGGTACGAAAAGCAAAAGAGAGCATCTGACGGAGAGAAAATGCCACCAGCCAGGAAGGGTTAAGAGCCAATGAAAAATGGGCAAAGAAAGGGGAAAGAAAGATTTGATGAGACGTAAATACAAACACAGCTCTCATTATCGTTCACAATGTATCCATTTATTTTCACGATCGAATAAACTTCCCCTTGTTATCTGTAGATAAATTGGTTAATATTAATGTCTCTTCAATGTCTCTAACGTAATTCAGAAAGAAATATTCGATTAAATCTCGATACAGCATTTTAACGATATCACATTCACAAAAAACATGCACCTATACATCAGATCCTATCAGAATTGATTGTACATTCTTATTTTACTTTTTCTCCACAATAATGCTCGATATTAATGTGTTCAAGCATTTGCATTTCAAACGTAGATTTCGCACATTTATACGAGAGATAAAAATATAATTACAAAACAGTAATAGATGTTGTGACACATTAATTAATAACATTCTTTTAACAATAATAATTCTTACAAATAGTTTATAACTATTATTATTTTCAAGAATAGAGTAATATAAGAATTAAAATTAAGTATAAAAATAGAAAGTAAAAAATTAGAGTGCAGTCTTTCACGAACGATAGTTTATTATACATTAATAATAAAATTATCAATTATACAAAAATATCATTATTTGGATAGCACAGGAATACTTTTTAAATTTTACAAAATATTTGTAAAAATTTAATTAAAATAATTAATAACATTCACACACACAATATTAATAAATATTTTAAAATACGGAAAGTCTCAATTATATTTTCTGAAACAACTATATCTGAAATATCTAAAATAAACTATATTTTAAGTATTTAAATTGTATTTTTTCAATTATTGAAATAGACTGATAATAAATTCTCTTCCCTTCTTTTTTTCTCTTTTTTCTCTTCTTATCTGTTGTATATATATATTTATTATAATATGTAAACGAATAAGAAAAATCATATTAGAATATTATTTGAAGTAATAAGAGTTATTAAATTAAAAACTATTAAAATATAATGATCCTTTATTTGAATATATTTAAAATGACAAATGATGCATTGGCTACTAATACATCTATTTTTAATAGAGAAGAAAATTTTAGAAATTGTAATAAGATTTTTACATTTTGATTTTTTCAATCAATTTTTTTAGCCTGTTTTTCTATTCTTTATTATTTTCTAAATATATTGAGATGTTTTAAAATACCATGTTTTTTTATTTATAATATGACGTTGAGATATTTTAAAATACCATGTTTTTTATCTATAACACAATACATCCACACACACACACACACACACACACATTGGAGCGAATATATTTTCCGCAATTTCAATATTGTCAAACAGATGATAGCCGAGTAAACCATTTGTGTGGTTATATATTCGCAATGTATCATTTACATGTATCCTGTGAATTTGCGGATTCTCGCTAATATGGAAATGAAATGCAATACATTGCTTGTTGCATTGCTAACGATTGAAACCGAAGAAAGGCCTTCATACAAGAGATTCGTTGCGATTTCTGAGATATCTGAGATATTGTTCCGATTACATAATATATTATTTCTGCTAATTTATAATAACTAAAGATAACCCAAAGCAGGATTAAAATGTTTTAATAAATTTGTCTTATAACCATTAGGAATTTTATTTTATTTTCGTGCTATTTTACGCCGCGTTTTGATCAATCTAGTTTTATTGTCGTATAATTTGTTGTGTATCGATATGTCTGGAAATTTTATGTTCCCAATTTCCCAGTAGTTATAATCAAATATAGGCATAATCAATAATGTAGTTAGCGATATTGCAATGTGGGGTGAATCTTTCTGTACGTGTAAAGCAATAAGTTGAAAACAAGAAAGAAACAGTCTTACTTTTTTCTTGTAAATAATGATACGTACATTTGATAATCACACCAGAATACATGAGTTTTATTAAATAATTAAATAAGAGTACATATTGACTTATGTCAATTAATCAATTTATTAAATTAAATTTTTATTAATAACTGAAAGAGGGACGGAAAGAAAAAGAGAGAAAAAAGGAGATGAAGGAAGACAAGGACAGATGATTGTCACTAATCGGCTTACAATTTCGGCGTAGTTTTCCTTGAGTTTTCAGATTTTCTAAAAATAGTGAATGTATTAATCGGCAATGCTGTTTGCCCCCGTCGCTTTTATAAGCATAGCTTACATTTGACCACAAAATTGCCTTTGGCACTAGGTCAGGAATGCATCCTGTCGCTTTTTATCGCGAAGGTGCCTGTTAGTTTCGCAAACGACCTCGAGCATTTTGCGATGAGAATCTGAATACCGAAAGGAAGGAGATTAATTTCTCTTCAATATTACAGAGCATCTTTAAATATTCCTTTCCCTCAAAAAACCAGCTAGCTAGCATGATGAGGACAAGGTATGTATGTAGGACCGCTAGAATCTGCTATTCAATAAATTAGAAGTGTATTTTCTCGAGACTTTGAAACGCGTGATCTCTTTGAAGGTTGTGGTCGCAAGAGAAAGCTTTGACACACTATTAACATCTCCAGAGGCTATTTAATCAGTGTCAGTCGATGAATAGGTTTTATTTGAAGCCGCTCTTCATTCAAGTATGTCATGCAATAATGGCTATTTTTAAGCATATTTTTAATCGCGATACGTTTTTATTTTTATATTTTTCTATATCACGACGACAGTCGATTAATAATAAATTTTGTACACTATAATAAATGGTGATTTGAAAATTCAGTATCGCATAGATTTAATGTATCTTAAGCAGAAATGTATGCTCTTTGTCTATATAAAATTCAATATTATATCAATAATATATATTATATGTAGTATGTATTATTATCGCTAATTAATTACAAAAGTATACTACTATTTAAAATCAATATAAAGATACGTGTGCCCAAGGGCAGATAATTTCCTCGACGTCAAGTTGTTAAAAACAGACAAGCCTTGTATGAATCATATATTAATTAAATATATTTAATAATAAATTTTTAATTAATTAAATGTTTTTAACTAATTAAGTAGATTTTTAATTAATTTAGTATTAATTGATTAAATTCTACTTTTTTAAATATTGAAATAATTTAATTGTTTTTTCCTTCAAGCTAAAAGCGCATATTCTTCTTAAATTTTATCAAAGTTAATCGGCATGAAAATATACAATATATTCACAATAAATAATATATTTAACACAAGAAAAATATTTGATATTATCAAACTTAAGTAATATAGGCATTAAAATTGTGCGTAAGTTTCGTAAGTTAGATAAGATTTAGTTTTGTTCAGAGGTTGGTTATTAGCATAGATGAACTTTAATAGTTTGAAAATATTATTATTATGGAGCAGAAATTAGTTCGCTACTTTCGTTTACTTAAGGATTAACGCGATTATATTCGTATGCTTACTTTTCAGGTGCTATATTCACTCATGACCAAAAGGATAGCAGCACGGAGCTGGCCTTCAAATACGCCGTTTACAAGATCAACAAGGATAAAATTATCCTGCCGAAGACCACGCTGGAGTATGACATCCAGTACGTGCCAAAAGATGATTCCTTTCACGCGTCGAAGAAGGGTAAGTGCTATTCATGTATGTCTTGCACGTGATTAATGCATATCTGTATATATTTTCTATGTTTTACTTTCGAATAGATTGTCTAAATAATTTTAACATTATCGTAATCCATTGGAATAAGAATTGGCGCGATTTGAGCCGAAACTTAGCGCGTAGAAAATTCTTCAGTACTGTAATGAAACGATGCCGCGTTGCACACATCTATAAGAAATTTCACTAAAGTTAAAAAACATCCCTCACGCTCATTAATCTCACGGCACCCCGCATGTCAAAAATGATTTATTTTCGAAAACTCGCTTCGTTTTCACAGTTACAGAAAGTTGCAAAATGTCTAGATGTACATTTCTGACACAAGTTTGAGATAGCTATTGCTTTATTTTAGCTTCGAAAATATGAGGGAGACAGTTTCGCCCGTTTTTGCGCCTGAAACTTTCATTCGTATAATTTTTTATCATCAAAGTGTGAAAAACACGACCGGTCCCATATTATTATGTTAAATTATTTACACATAGAAATGACAAGTGGATCGAATAATCGATCGCGAACGGTAATCGTTTTGTAAGAAAAGTAGCTGAGTCGAGATAAAGGGAGCTGATTTATCCAGCAAAAACACGATATCGCGAGAACACTTCGAGGTATCTTGAATATCACGAGAGTTAACATGTTGTATGCAGTGTAAGGAGCGTTTTCATAAGCAAAATTTATTATCTTGACAGCACGTACGTACAAACCAACCGAGAATAATAGGCTCGCCGCTCGTTATTATTAAAGTAGCATATACTCATTATTATCCTTACCGTCTTCCGCTATCGGATACATGCCGTAAACAACCATATCTAATTCGTTTCATAGCATCATTAAAAGCGTATTACATGCTTCTTGTTTCATACGTGAGAAAATTTCCAAAATCAATTGTTGTCTTTAAGCGGTGTATCGCATGAAAGTATTCTGATAATATGATTCAGCATGCATTGATTCCTTTGTACTGCTAGCAATCCTTAATGCTGATTGCATTGATACAGATCGAAGTGAAATTCCTGTTTCCTTTCCTTGTAACAAGATTCTCGACACGAGTTTATTTTTAAATATATGATTAAATTCAATATGGATTCATTAGTTTCGTTGTTCTCGCAATATACAGCGATATTTATAATTCTGGCACAAACAGTTGAACAGATATATCGTTTTTTTTCTCCTTCAGTGAATAGCCGGAGAGATTTGCGTCATATTTAATTCTCTGTAAAGCGCATCAACATATCGGAGGAGGTTCTTTTATTTCTTGAAAATAAACTACATGAAAGATGTTCTCTATCTAGGTCGACATCGTGTCTGATCGAATATTAGTATACGCACGTTATATAAACGTTATCTATATTCGATGAGGGTGATTAATTTTCAATCTTTAGCCAATATTGATTAGCATAGAACTAATTAACAATCTCGATCAGCTACCTTTGTTATTTTCGATCGCGAATTATAATTTTACCGAGCAATCAATGTTTAACAAAAAAATTATTTCATTTCAATGAGATATATGCATTTTTAAATAATTTCTTCTTATTTGTCTTATACTATAAATCGAAAATATATTTTAATATTGAAAATTATTGAGCAGAATATTAATACTAATATTAATTATATATGATTAGTACTAATATTAATGATACATAATATTATATTAATATTAATTTGATATTTCTAATTATATTTTATTAACAAATATAGCTCCGTTATAATGTTAATAATGCTGTATAAATAATTGTTATATATTGCGAAAGTCCGGAGATTACGTTTTGAATACGATATGTGAAAATGGTTAAATGGCTTTTTCCCATGTATAGTACATAAATTTATGAAATCCGATTTAGTCAAATTCATTTTTCAATGTAACCCATAACTTATATATCTATTTTCATTTTTATATCGCATTATATGTGTATTCTCGGCATATGATCTTTGTAATCCGATTTCCACTATTGTACTCCTGCTTTTTAAAAAATTTTATATGAAGCTCGTTTTATATGAAAAATTCACGTTCCTAAAATATAATGCGTGGAAATGTCTATATAAAATTTTTATTTGATGATAATTTTTTAACCAGAAAACATTTTACTCATTGCAATAGTATAAATTACATATTAAAAATTCAATATTAAACTTGGAAACAATGTTATACATTTGAATTAATTTCCTTTAGCTAATTTGTGAAACTGGCGTATTATTTCGTGAAAAAAATAATTAAGAATTTAAACTATATTTTCAATAATAAGATTATTAATAGAGATTTATTTTTATTATGCAATTTTATTTGAAATATCTTTATTTGTCGAATTTTCTTGATTTACAAAGGAGGAATATGTACATAAATGTATATTAATTTATTGATGGAGAGTAAATCTCTCAAATGAAGTAACGCTAAACTTGAATGATATAATATACATATACAACTTTCAATTGCTTGCAACCAGGGAAACTTTCGTCGGTGATATTGGCGAATTTGTGCCTCGGAATTGCCGCGTGGATCGATAAAATGTGTGCATGTATCGTGTATCACTATGGGTGGGAAGCCACTTCGAAACCAGTCCATAGTCTGCTTGTAGCGCCGAAGGTTTTCTCTAGTGATTTTTTATGGACCCGTTGGTTCATCCACGATAGCACGAGATAGTCAAATTAATTTATTTCAAAGTTACGTGTTCTCTGATAATTTCATATGTATGTATGATACATAAAAATTACAATAACTTTTCGTTAATTGTAAATAAACTTTGTACAAATAAATTTTGTTTAGATTTCGTTATTCAGATATTTCGTCTTTTGGTAATAAAATTTAACGAAGATTCAAAACGTCTCTTCTGAATCAATAAAAAAAGATATCCTTCGATGATCGGAAGCGATATTAGCGCATCGCTCGTTTTCCCGTAAAATAGCTATGCAAATATTAACGTACCGATACGTCGCACAGGAAATCCGATAAGCAAGTTCCATACAACACGTGTGGCTATAACCATAAAAGTCTATAAAAAATCGTATTTGTTGGCGAATATAACGCTAGTTTGCGATATCCAACGATCATCACCGCGTCCCTACATGGACCATTTACATGACCACATACATACGCACGTGCATACACTTATGCAAACAATGTCATATTAAGGCGACACGACATGCAGTACTAGTCAATGGGCGCAGTTCCTTAAGCTCTTTACATGCATTATACATTACGTTTTTTCTCATTCTACTTATAATAGCGATCTTACTTTTTAGTGCCCGCGTCAAAAATTGTGCGATGGATAAATTAGATTTGAATGTGACGTATTGCACGCAAAAAAATTTGAATACAGAATTGAAATCCTTTAATGACATTGAAATATTAATAAAATGACTAATTTTCAAAAAGTTTTCATTACATTTGTCGTTTCTTATTTCGTTAGTACGTTTCTCTTAGTATAATTTTTGATTAATTAATGAAAAAATAAGATTTTATCATCGATTTATACATTCGTAGCTTTATTTATCCTCTTAATTTTCAAAATCATTGTTTCGTAAAAATTTTCTTGAAAAGAAATCAAAATATTTATTCAACAACGATGTTATCGAAACTTCAAAACAAACTTTGCAAAACATAAACATATAATTTTTCAAATTCAAGATTCGTTCATCAAAAAAGACCCAGCTTTAATTATGTCACGTGTTCGAGAGTTCCTCTCGAATAGGTCGCTCTTTCGCTTATAAGCACTACAGGTCTTCCAGCCGGAAGTGCTCTTGATTTTCGATCTTCGATGCAAAGGTTTCTCGGTCACGATTATGTATACATTCAAGAACTCTCGACCATGAGCTATTTTAGAGTTTCCACGAGCAAAAAAGCTTGCATTGTCAATAAAATTACGATCACTAGTGTAGCTTATATAATTCGGATAATATCTTCCTATAACTAAATTAACAAAATATGATATTTATAAGTAAATTTGAATTTGTTAGAGAGTGAATAAAATTCTAAAAATTAATTGAAAAATGAAATTAAATGAAAACGATACACAAATTAACAGGAAATTAAATAATTTTTGTGAAAATAGCAGGTGTAGATGTATCAAAAAATATCAGAAGACATATCATTAAAACAAATGATATGTCTTTATATCAATTAAAAATATTTTTTATTCTTATAATAAAACAGATACGTATTATAGTACGAAGACAAGTGATCCTAATGTAACTTTTAAACTGAATTCAGCTTCTTTGCTAAAAAAATATTTTCATCATGATAAACGCATATTGGAGCCAAAAGAGATTTGTACATGACCTAGATAAATGATTCGCGGACAAAGGTTGTGTGAAATCTATGTCATTGAGAAAAATGAGAAAAATGGAAGGGAAGACTTAAAGGAAAGCGTCTGACAGAGCAGCATTCATCGTTGAATGTAAAAACTCATTTGTCAGACGCGAAGGTTCTTAGCTTGCTGCGTGGCAGACGCTATTGTCGTCCACTCATCTCTTTTGGTACGTCATAATGGCTGAATATGCCACCGTGAAATCTGCAAGTAATGAGTGCTACAGCAAATCCCACGGATTTGACTTTCAGTTTAATCCTCTGAGAGTGAGCATACAGTTCAGTTGAGCGCGATGCTGTCGTCGCTGCTTGCTCAACAATTTAAACTTTGGCGTGCGAACGTTTACGAGTCGCAATTGTATCGATCGAATAAACAGCCGAGTATGAAGATGCAGATATCGGAATACGCGCGAGAACAAACGATAAATCAACTCGAGTTACCATTTTTCCGCGTTTCCGTTATCCTTTGAAAACAGAGAGAGAGAGAGAGAATCGCGGGGAAAAACTCATTTTTAATCGATATTGTTCGCACAATTATTGGCCGCATCACGTAGTTTAATACCTTAATCTTTCCTTTTTTGTGCCATCGCAAATCCTTCCGGATACGAAACCGGGGGACATGTTTATCGATTTAGCTGGAATTTTTCTTGCTGTCGCATACGCGCGCGCGGAA